TTAATAAAATCATGTGTGGTAAAATCCATTTTCATCCTAACAAAACCTTTTAGGATTCTGGTTAAATAGTTTTATTGAAAAAAAAGAAAAAAAGTTAATTTGGTTTCTTTAATATTAGAACAAGTGCACTTTTCATGTGAACATTATCAATAGCGTATTGACTCTTTGGCGAAATCAACGACTCTCTTCAGTGAAGTGTTAAAGAACGATGTACTTACCAACCAAACACTATTTACTTTTAATATGTTAGAGTTAGATGGATAACGTAATTAAGGGTATTTTAGAATTCTAACACATTTTGATAAAAAAAATTTAGAAAAGTAACACAAGTTAGAAAAATATTGAAAAACCAATATAATTTGAATATAACTGATGTTAAAAATAACGTTGTATAGAACTGTTATGATGAATAATGATTGTTTAAAAAATCATGTTTTTTTTTAAATTTAATTAACATGTATAAAAAATCAATTTAAAATTTTATGAAAATAAGTGGTGAGGAAATAAGATCCAAGATTCAATAACAAAAAAATAAAGTCACTAAGAACTCTTTAAAATTTTGTTTTTGATATATTTAGTGTTGCTAAAAAAATCTTAACGATGAGATTTTAATCAAATTTTAAAAAATTATCAAACATAGTTATGATTTATTAGAGATTTTATTTGGAACTAATTTAAAGTTAATTATAACATTTTTTATTGTTTTTTTAAGGTGTAGTTTAAATCTTCTTATCAAGTTCTTTATAATAGTATTAAGTGTATCAAAAACAATCTTACAATGTGCTCATGTAACCCTCTTTTTTTTTTTCTTTGTTTTCCTATTTATCTTTCCTGCCATGTTATCTTGTTTTCTTCTTTTTTTATTGACTATTGGATTTTAATTTTTTTATTATTGGATTTTTATAAAAATTTAAATTGATTTGTATTTACTTTAATTAAGTTGCAAAAAAAAAACATGACTAAATAACTGCTATTTGAAATAACGAATGTGTACAAAAATGATATTCTCAAATGTAGCTATGTTCAAATTGTATAATTTTTTAAATAATTTTTCAACCTACGTTGTTGTTCAAAAACTTTTAACAAATTATGTTATTTTTTTTAAAAAAAAATCTGGTAATTAAACTTGTTTCTCTTTTCATTATCTCAACTGTAAAGTCAACAGAAAACCGAAATAGAAGATGTTATATGCACAACAATTTGAGTATACTTTTCCTCTTCGATGGTAAAAGTACCACATGCTAATCTTTCTTTGAAAAACATTGTAGAAATAGATTTGGTGACACTCTTTACTAAACAATGTAATGAAATCTTTGCTCTGGTGAAAAAAAAAAATAATCTTAGTTTTAGAAAGTATTGAGATTTTGTGCTCGGTATAGATGTGAGCACATGAAAGACACCTATATATAGAAGACACCAATGAATTTTGAACAACATGTATAATATTTTTTATGGAAAAAATATTATACATGTTGTTCAAAATTCATTGGTGTCTTCTATATATAGGTGTCTTCTATATTATTATATCATATTGTTAAAAATATTATCATGTTATTTTTTTTAATGGTGCAACACATATTAATGATATTAGCATGGTTTATTTCTAGTGAGTTTTTTATATTCTCTTTCCTCCGTGAAAATTATAACTTTGCTTCTTCTTTTTTTGTTGCTGATATTTGAGCTTTAGTTTTTATTTTTTATTTTTATTGTTTTCTTGGTTATTTTTTAGAAGTTTTGTTTGTTTTTAATTTCATCATTCAATTTTAATTTATCATTTATTATTTTTGCTTTCAATTTAGTCTCTATTCTTTTGATTTCTAGTTTTTTTCCTTGGTTTTTTTGTAAAAATTTTCTTAGTTTTCAATTTTATCGTTCAATCTAAATTTATGGTTTATTATGTTTTTCAATCCGGTCCTCATTATTTTAGTTTTTCTATGTCTTTTGTTGAATTTATTTTTCCTTTTAATATCACACTTCCATTTTAGTCCTTTTGTTCAATTGATTTTTTCTTTTTAATTTAACCCTCCGATCAAATATAAAATGTAATTTTTATTTCGATTTTGATTCTTATTTTTTAATTATTTTTTGTTTTATTTTAAATCCTTTTGTACAATTAAAATTATGTTTCAATTCTACCCTTCAATGTTTGATTAATTGAGAATTGAGTTTTATAATTTTTTTTAAATAAGGTGTTTTTGGTATAATAATTGAGATAACAAGTTTGAAAAGTTAACAGAGGTTGACTTTGATCTTTGAAAAAAAATAAGCTTTATGATTTTTATTATTTTTTTCCCTACCAAATTATTATATTTTCATGACCTAAGTTATGAGTTTGATGAAACAACTCGTGTTGGCTAGGTCCTAATAATCAGAGTTATAAGTTTCTCATGGTAACTTAGATTGACTAAAACTATTTTTTTTAGATATTCTATTTTATCCAATTTTATCCGTGTGCATTTAATGGTCTAGAAATTGAGTTACATTATCTGTTTCTTTTTTTTTAAAAAATGTTTTTTTCCTTAGCTTATCAGTATCACTTTTTTTAAAAAAAAATTGGTCTATTTATTGTTATTGATTTTTTTATTACCTAGTTAAAATAAAATCAAATTATTTGACATAATCATGTCTATAACTCAAGGCATAAATTCTTTTTCCTTATTTAAAATATGTTTACAGTTTTTAAACATTAGTTTTTATGCAAGAATAATCGATCCATGGGATAGAGCGATTCCTAATGTATAATTTAGCCACTTTATACTAAATCCTTCATTAATCAATTTTAAATAAATAATTTTTATAGGGATTACAATTCACCAGATTCATAGTTTATTTTTTGTAATTCAACAAGGTAAGGCCAAATTTTTATCTAACTTAACCAAGAGATAAATGTAAATTTTGTCAAAGAATCATCTCACCTAAAAGCTTAAGCTATAAGGTGAGGTCCCAGGATATGATTTATATTATTCTCTAATACATCCCCTTAAATGAAAGCCTTTTGGGGCTTGAAACTTGCACAAGTCCATATTTTTTTGTGTTTAATTTTTATCAAATAAATGGGGATAATGAGATTCAAACTTGAGATCATTTGGTCATCAAGACTATGATACCATGTCGAAGAACCATCTCATCTAAAAGCTTAAGCTATTAGGTGAGGTTCCATGATATGATTTATATTATTTTCTAATAGGTTTACCCAACCTTGTTTACCAATTTTTAAACCTTTTTATTTTATTTTATTTTATAGGTTTGTCATTTTATTTTTGAAATCAATATACAAACATTTATCTTATTATTTACAAAGTATTTTTATGATTTCATGCATGGATTTAAAATTTAAAATTTAAAATTTATTAAACAGGTTTATAAATTATAAATAAAAATATATTTTGTTTTTTAGAATTAGATTTTATTTTTTAATAATTAATTTTGAGATAAAAAAATAAAGCAAGGTTAGGTAGTCAGTGGGTACTCGTCAGGTAAAGAGAGGTTTCCGATTAAATTGAATTATTGCCAAGACATGTAATAGATTTAGATATATCGAAATTAAGCTCCAACTCCTCACTTAGCCATTCATAGCCTACTTAGCCATTCATAGCCTAGTGGACATGTAAAGAGAATAATTATTTTCGAACATTGACTCTAAATTTGAACTGAAGGAAGCCAAACCACCAAACTTGCTATTGAGATAGTTAAAGTATAATAACCCATCAACAACCTTTTCTCAGTGTTCATGAACAAAAGTTAAAGAAAAATAGAGAATTTTTCTAAAAAAAAACAACAAAACACTCTTCCTAGCTTATGTCCATGATGTGTTTATTTTTGTGATCTGATAATATTTTTAAATTTTTTTAGTTTTAACAAAAGTTAAGAGAAAAAAATATAATTTTCTATTTTAAAAAAATATTGTATTTATTTTCTTGTTTAATCTATGTTTTTAAATTATTTTAATGTATTGGTATTAAAAATAAAATTTAAAAAATAAAACATATTATTTTAATATATATATTTTTTTAAAAACACACAGCAACTTTCTTCTCATCAGCATCCAGCTAAAAAAAAAACAAAATCCCCGAAAAAACAGAAAAGCCTACAGCTCATTCCCTCCCTCCGTAGTCAAGCATCCATCAATCTTCGTTGAACCCACTTGTCTTTCTCCTTTATCAACCTTTTCTTACTTCTACTCGTGAACAAAAATAAAATTAATAAATACAAAAAACAGAAAAACTGGCATTGACAGAATATATTCAACCTTCGTCATTCCCAAGAACCAAACTAAAAACCAAAAAAAAAATAATCTCTTTTTAAATAAATAAATAAGAGTAAATTGAAGGGCTGGAAACAGGTATCTTTCATAGACACCCAATCCCTCTGTTCCCTCACTCCTCAATCCTACCCTCTCTCTCTATGGCTTGACCCGGTCTATCACTCAGTACTGATTCATGGCCCAGTCCAATCACACAAGGCAATGCTCTACCACCCACCCTCGTCGCCGGAGATCTTCTTGGTGTTGTTCCTTCGCTGTACAGCCTTCAAGCCCAGAGAGCCGTCCCTTCACAAAACCCGCTTTCCGCAAGAACAAGAAATCAGATATTTCGGTCTCTAAGCCTGGCCCCTACTCGGTCCCCAACTCACCCAAATCCGGGTTAAATTTCGTGGGTCGGATCGACCCGAGAAGAATTCTCTCTCCAGGCCGCGTCTCGCCTATTGATTCGGATCCTACTGCCGACACGACCCGAGATATCATACCCGACCCGTCACCTCAGGTGGATTTGAGCTCGAAATCGAGATCCGAATCTTTCCGGGGAAGGAGTGAGAGGAGGTCGTTCTCGGATACTGGGTCAGATTCGGGTCGGGGCGTTTTTGATGTGAGGCTGAATTTGAGAGGGAGGAATGGTGGGGGTTTAGTGTTGGAGCTGAATTCGGAGGTCTTGATTGCAAATTCAGAAGTTTTTGCGGGTTTGATTTGCGAATATCGAAAAAAACTGGGGTCGAAATGTAATAGTAACGAGGATGGTGGTAATTTTTCAAGAAAGATTTGTAGAATTGAAGTGCCTGATGTGGAGAATTTGGGAATTTTTAGGGACACAATTGAGTTGATGTTTGAAGAGGATATTGCTAAAAGGTTACTCAAGATTGGGGCTTATAGAGCCATTGACATACTCGAGGTTAGTTGCTGCTGCTTCCTTTTCTTTTCTTTTTAATTTGAAGATTTTAGTTGGGTACTGTCTCTATTAACGCCGGAGGAGAATTTTTTTTTAATGTTTTTTTGATTTAGGGGCTTTTGATCACTGAAGTTTGTGTAGTTACAGGAATTGCTGTGAATAGTTTTGCTTTGACTGTTTAACCTCAGCTATTTGTACATGACATGTGCTTGTGGTCAAGCGTAAGGATGCTATGGAGACACTTGTGTATGTCATGCACGGATTGTTGAGATTGGACTGTCACATCAAATTGCAAATGTTCAAAGCATTCTTCGCAGGCTTATATCTTAATCCTGCTTTGTATCGATGCAATACCATTGCTCTAAAAGAGCTAGAGTAGTACTATGCGATTTTAATTTAGAGTAATGGATAGGTTAAGGTAGCAGTTGGATAGGGGTTTTGAGCAGTTCTGACATCGACCATGTTTGGGAACGCGGTGTAGTAACGCTCCCTCAAATTTTGATTTTTTTTTTTTTTTGTGCTAAAACTTATATATTTTTTTGTTTTCATATTGTTTTGATGTGGTGATATCAAAAAAGATTTTTTTAAAATAAAAAAAATATTATTTTGATGTATTTCTAAAAAAAAAATACTTTGTATTGTAACAATCACTATCACAATCCCAAACAGGCCCGATTTGTCGTTGTTTGTGCATGACTTGAGTATGCGAACTGATGGGATTCCCATGTGCATGCCCGTGTCATTGCATGACATGGGCAATTGAGATTGAACAATCACATTGATTACAACTGTTAACAGTTTCCTTTGTGTGCTTTCTGGAATATTGAGATACCTGATTATCTTGAATAGATGGTTTAGATAACAAGTGAGCCAAGTGATCCTCAATTTTTTTCACTGCATCGAATTGTTCTCAAAGGAATCAATGGACATTTTGGGCAGGCTTTGCAACAAGCGCATTATGAGTTCTGAGAAATAACTCATGATATTATGGGTATAGAATTGTGGGCTAGGTTATAGATTTAGTTGTGTGTATGAACTGCAAGGCATGTGACATAGCAAAATAATCTCTCAAACGTATCTTGTCTCTTGTTCAAGTACATTTTGTTTTATTATTCATTGCCGATTACTGGATGTGTTAAAGAGTAAATGGGGGAGAGGGCCTTATTGACTGTCTACTTTGCAATTGACTTATAATTCATGGTGCCTTTGAACATGTCTTTTATCTTATACTTTTGAATAGAAAAGAATTTGTAAATGATGTTACATAATCAAGATGGAGAAATTTTTTTCTTAGCTTAAATATTTTGCAGACAATTTGTTTTTAAGCATCATGCTATGAGTTGGAAGAAAATGATTTATGCAACTGATCCCTATTAATCAGAGATTGAGATTCAATATAATAGAATTGACAATTACTCAATCCTCTCTAAGACACAACACACACATGCATGTATGCTTATAGACATGTACAGTTCACTTTTTGCAAGGGACCCTAGCTAATCCCTTCTTCATATTCTTCCATATAGATATACTAGATGGAAATTGAGTCTGTAATCATTTCTGAGGATTCTTAAAGTGTGTTTGGTATTATAGGAGCAGTCATAAACTTTTCATCCTAATTGGAAAAGCATCAATATGAAACTTTTCCAATTTGAATGGACAAAAAACCCGAGTTTTTTGTCATAGCAGCCACAATGTCATACACCAACTAAATTTTTCTGCTCACCATTTCTTTAACTGAAGAGTCATCTTTAGAACCACTTCTGTGAACAAATTTCTCATATAAAGAGATCAAAGAAAGATCAGTTGATGCATTTTTCTTTTTAACCTATTTTGGAGGCATTATTAATTAGGAGTTGAATTCATAGATTATGCTAGGTGGGATATCTTAAAATGGGTGATGTCTAGAATGTCAATATTTGAGCTTCGGCTTAATGTCATTAGGGCTGCTAGATTTGAATAAAATAGAAAAAGGTTATCAACAAGATTCACATCTAGTGGTTTAATGACTATCGACATTGTGTCAATGATCAAAGTGTCGAGTTGTAGCAACCACCCATTATTATGATCTTCAACTTCTTGTACTGTGCTTTCCCCTTTTCTAGATTATTACACAGCCTGGCATTAGAAAAATGATTGTGCAAATTAATTACCGTAACATAGAAAAGTTTACAGTACAAGGGCTTAGATTTTGTCTGTTGTAGCCACATATTGAAGAACTCAAATGAGGTTGTGTTTTACTTACTGTCCCTTTGACTATATCCATTTGCTTATTGATCTAACAAGATCTTTTGAAACTATTGCAGGTATCAGCTGGCATCATGTTTAATAAAGGTGTTTTGTCCTGTTTGAAATACCTTGAGGCTGTTCCTTGGACGGAGGAAGAAGAGGACAAACTTAGGAATCTATTTACAGTGTTTAAATTTGATGAGACCACAACTCGAGATATTTTGGCTAGACTTCACTTGCTTAGCTCAGAAGAGTCTCAACAAAATCTAGCTAGGCAGCTTGTTTGGTCTATTACTACTAGTGCCGATGCCAATGCAAGAAATGAACTGAAGTCATTAGTTAAGGGTCTCCTTTGCAAAAGTTCAGTGTACGAGAAGGACAAACATGATCTCACCAAGGAGGATCTTTATGATGTTTGCCATTCCTGTCTAGGTTTGTTAGTCAGCCTCATGGAGGAAGCCTCTGATATTATACCACAAGGGACAGTGGTGAAAAAGGAAACAAGTAAGCCCTTGATTGGACGCATCTCCAGACAGGTTGATAACATCATTTGGCTGCTGGAAATCCTCCTTGATCGTCAGATTGGTGAGGAGTTTGTGGGTATGTGGGCAGATCAAGTGGACTTGCTAAAAATGCATGAGAGTACATCTCCGATGGTTAGATATGAGCTCAGCCGGGTTTCTGCAATTCTATTTATTGCAATGGGAACAAGAAAATTGCATTGCCGCTCAGAAGCAAGAGCAGCGCTTCTCCAGGCATGGTTTGGCCCAATGCTACTGGACTTCGGTTGGTTACAGAGATGTAAAAAAGGGTTGGACATGAAAGCATTAGAAGAAGCCATGGGTCAGACACTCCTTACACTTCCTATGAAGCAGCAGTACATGTTCTTCACAGAATGGTTTGGGTATTTCTCCAAGCATGGTACTGAATGTCCCAATCTCAGCAAAGCCTTCCAGATTTGGTGGCGTCGATCATTTCTGAGAGGGTCAGAAACTAATGCAATTGAATCCAGGTAATAGGTGTCTCTTGTCATTGCCTACCCCTGTAACCTTTGTTGTTGTGGAGGCTGAGGGGTTCTGAGAATTAGGAACTGAATAATGTATATCTTTATGTAGAATCGTTGTATTAGTGGTTAGAGCATTAAGTGACAAGGTTTTTATTTTTTTGCTAAATTTATTTTTAGCTTCATCCACTATAAATTATTTTGTGAAAAATATTTTCATGAGGAAAGCATGAGTTATTTGTCCCTGTTTAGATGTATCAAGGAATATGTTTTTCTATGATTTATATTATTTTTTGCTTATAATTTTTAAATGACGGTGATAAAATGAAAAATTATAATATTTATGATAAAAATAGTGGTGATGGTGGTTCTCATGGCAGCATTCAAGATTATATAATGGTATAGTAATGGAATGATGAATCTTCTCTTCATGTATATTTTCTGAAAAGCCTCTGTCCAGTAACGGTAAATACTTAAATTTGAAAGGAGTTCACGGATTCAAAAGCTTCCTTCCTCTCAGCAATTCAAGTTAAATGCCCCATTACAAGTGGAGGCCAAAGCATCCTTATTCGCAGTGGCAACTCGTTTAAATCTTATGCATGTTAAAATAAATTAAATAAATAAAACGTGTAAGAAAATTAATGATATTATGTTATAAAAACATTAAAGCTTAAAAATATTCACCTGAATTATAATGAAATCCAAGAATTATCTTCTAGGACGTAATGATGAATGCACCCTCTTCCCAGGCATGCCCTTCGCTTTGCCAATGTTCCTCCCAAGGAACTGCTATATGAACAAAGAACTTGGTTGAGAAAGCATACGACAGACTTCGGTGGAGCTTTATTCATGAAACCTTATACCTAGCAGGGCTTCCTGGCAATGTGGTTGGTGTTATAAGGAAGTGCATGACAAGTTCTTCTATCGAGCTTTTGTGGAATGGGGATACTACCGAGAGTTGTTCCATTGAGAGAAAATCGCCATGAGAACCCTCTCTCACCTTGTATTTTTGTTCTTCGCATTGACAGATACCTAAGGAGGTTTGTGAGATGATTGAGAAACCTTAGCAGGGGATTTATTTGGGGTGATTCTGAATATCGTAGAAAATCCAAATGGAAAACTATTTGCCAGCCGAGGAACATAGGAGTGCGGAATCTCAATGAAGTTAGCTTGGGGTGTTGTGACAAGCGAAGAGGCGTCATGGGTTAAAGTTATCAAAGCGAAGTACTTTTATGAAGGGTATGGGGGCTTGTCTCTTAAAAATTCAGGTGAAGTATCTCACTTGTGGAGGCATGTGAGACTAGTGCGGGAATTTGTGATGAAGAGTAGGTTTTGGGTAGCGGGAAATGGGCAAAAAGTGAGATTTTGGTTAGATAACTGGGTGGATAATTTTACCATCATGCTGCCAGGAGATGTTTGGCCAGTGAATTGTATCCATTTGCCCCCTCTCCCCTGATAATGGTCGTCATCATCTGCATTTTTTGGTCACACGGTGACAGAAATTCTCCCTCTTAAATCAGCTTGCTCTTGCTTGGAGAGTGGGAATTAATTTTGGAACCCCATGGACAAGGTATGGGATTTAGTTTGGAAGTGGAGAGGGCCACAGCGCATTAAGACGTGTTTTGGATGGCAGTCCATAATGGTTTTCTTACAAATGGGCAAAGCTTTCATAGAAAGTTATCTGCAAATGCTAGCTGTATTTTATGCTCTGATAGTGTTGAGAGTTGAGACTACTCTGCTTGTTTTATTAGGAGACTGTTCTGCAGGCATGCCTTTATGGTCTGGAGGATTGAGACGTAGTATTTGGGGTCTTGGCATGAAACAAGTGGAGTTGGCATGACGATAGGGTATCTCATCCCAGAGACAACACTCATTTGAACCATGGAGGAGGCTTGGAGGTCTTTTGGCGAGTCTTCCCATGTCCAGTTACATTAAAAAAAAATTGATTAATTGGACTCCTCCTCATGACTGTTGGAAAAAACTTGACAAAGATGGAGCGAGCAAGGGAAATGTTGGTGCTGGGGGCCTGATCAGAGACATTTATGGCAGGTTAGTTACAGGTTTGGAAGCTGGCGGAGGAAGCTGCGAGGACTTGAAGGCGGAGGAAGCGGTTAGGCGTTGAAGGCGGAGTTACGGGCTGACAAATCGGGTCTAGAGATGGCTTGGAGTTCAGATGTGAGACTGCTCCATGCGGAGCTGGATTCCCAGTTTTTCCGCTAGTCCCTGGCCTTTCGTACAAAAAAAGGAAGAGAAAAAAAAGAACAATGAACTTGGTTCATGGGATTATAAATTAAAAAATAAAAATTTATTATCTATTCAAGTAAATCAAATCAATCGTCTTATAAATTTATCTTTTTATCCAATAAACTCAATCTGGAAAAGATTTTCTCTCTCAAAATCTTAAGGGGTTGACTTAACAGTTGAAGATATATATTTTATCTCTTGATTTTTTATATTTAAATCCTAAGACGAGTATTCAAAGAAAGTTTTCATATTTTGACGGTTAAAGATTATCTATAATAGCTTTTAATTACTATCTTATATTAAAATAAAAAAAATATGTTGTTTTATCCTTTGTTTGTTTTGAAGGAAAAAAATTACACAGAAATAGATTTATTTAATATTTTTATATTTATTTCTTTAAATAAATATGTTTTTATTCTCTTCATATATATATATATAAGAAACAAACTATATCACTATGAAATATACGTTGATTTGGTTGAGGTAAGTCCAGTCAGTGTAATAATTTTATGTTCCTGAGGATATTTCTTTTCGTTTCCCTTTCTGAATTAATTAAAAAAGAATTTAACTATTTAGATGGTGGTCAAGTGGTAAAGATTTGAGATTAAGAAGTTTGTTCCCTCTATGGTCTCAGGTTCGAGTTCTTGATTGCTTATATAATGGCCACTAAAGGTTTATATGATTGTTAACTTCAAGACCCATAAAATTAGTCATGGTGCACACAAATTAACCTAAATAACTATGTCAATCTAAAAAAAATATATGTTGATTTGGTTGAGGTAAGTACAGTCAGTGTAATAATTTTATGTTCCTGAGGATATTTCTTTTCGTTTCCCTTTCTGAATTAATTAAAAAAGATAAAAAAAATCAACGACTCTAACCAACACTGCCACCCAGCCTTTTCACTTACTCTCTATGAATGTTGACACACAAACACTCTCTTTGCTGCTAGCTGGCTTCTACTGTCACCTTCATTTACTACTTTCTTTTGTACATTTTGTAGTCTGTTCGGTTCCTGAGAAAAAGAAAGGAATGAAAAAGAAAAATGAGTTTCTTTTTTAATGCTTTCTTCAGTTTTATGTAACAATCTGAGGTTCAGTATTGTCAAAGATTGCCTGCAATTCCTTGGCTATGTCATAATGTCTGTGGAAAAACTGCTGCATTCCCTTTTGATTGTGGTTAATGTACTATGACTGGCTTCAAAAAGGTTAAGATGCTGAATTTTTGTGTTTTTCTTTGTTGGGTTGTTTAGATAAGCTAATTTGCGCAAAAGGGTGTCGGTCAAGATTCATGCTTGTAGTGAAAATTCATGTCATTTTGTGTAATGAAGTGAGGTTGTAGTTTTCTGGGTTTAGGCCAAAAAACGATACCAAGTAGGCCACAGACTCCAATTGGTGGTTCCTCTTTGTTTAACCTGTGCTTTTGAGATCAAATTCTGCTATTTTGGGGTCTCAAGGAGGTGGTTCCATGCAGCCAGGTCAGTATAACATGAATTTGATTGGGGACTTTCCAAGTATGTCTTCTCTTATCAATCATTGTTTTGGGAATGGTGGCTCGAGCTCTGGACTTTCTGGTTTGGAGTCTAATCCCATTTCTATGGTAGCAAATGATGTGGGTTTCAGCTCATCATCTGATGGTTTTACTATGGTGAGTTCTGGTTCATCCGGGAAAGTTCAAAGCAAGCGAATTGCCAACTCTTCTGGTAATCACCAACCTCAAGTTCAACAATTTGAGCCACTCGTGTTATCGCATGGGCAGAAGCAATTCCATTCCATTCGAGGTAGTTTAGGGGCGATGGGACCTGTAAAATTGGAGCCCCAGGTATTAAATGAACAGATTGGTCCCCAGCGTAGGTTGCAGTCCTTGCAGAGTCTGGGTTCAGTGAAACTAGAACCACAACAGAACCAGATTGGAAGAGGCATTGGACCTGTTAAAGTTGAAAATCAACTTTCTGTTCAGTCGAATTTACGACAGCAGCAGCTCCTCCACATGTCCAGGCAGTCTACTCAGGCTAATGCTACACAGATGAATTACTTGCAGCAACAGCAGGAGCAACCTTTGAGGGCATTTCCTCATCAACAGCCGCAAATGCAACAGTTTCAACAGAAAAATCTGCCAGTTAGATCTGCTGCAAGACCACTGTATGAACCTGGAACAGGTGCTAGGCGTTTGACTCAATACATGTATCAGCAGCAGCATAGACCTCAGGTAAAATTGTTTGATTCCTGGAGAAAATGTGTTTTGTCAGTTTTTGGCAGTTTACTTTGTGTGTTTGTAGTTACTGATCTTTATGTAGGACAACAATATTGATTTCTGGACGAAATTTGTGGCTGAGTTTTTTACAACCAGTGCCAGGAAAAGATTGTGCGTCTCATTATATGGAAATAGCCGCCAAACAAATGGCATTTTTCCTCAGGTATGCTGTTATATTGACGAATGCTAATTGACAGAAGGAGATTTTTCTGAAGGGATGTGGGTTAAAGTAACAAATTATCTTCGGTCCACCACCTTATCTGTGCTTTAGCTTCAATACTCCTACAATGGTTACCTTGTTCAATTTTATGTAAGAGAGGTGATGAATAATTGCATTTATGAGAAAGATAATCGGTAAAATGCACAACTTTTGAGCTTAGACTCTATCCTGTGCTATGCGTAATGCTACCTCTTAAGCAAACACTAGCTTATGTGTGCAGTTGTTTTTATTTGAATCTTTGTAGACTTCAATGCAGTCATGACCAACTTGGAATGAAAACAATAGGGTTGACTGTGAAGTTCTTGAGTAATCATATGGTACTTGTGAACTTGACGTGAGAAAACATTTGAAATTTAATGGCAATGTTGCAGGATTTGTGGCACTGTGAGATATGCAATCACAAACCTGGTCGTGGTTTTGGTATGCTATTTTTATAGCCTGAGCTTTTCTGTTATCATCAATTTGTTA